AGTGGTGCTTGTCGAGGAAATTCATGGATGGGGCGTGGCGCAGCGTTGGCTCATGTTTCGTCTCTCCTACCCGGCTGAATCGCTTGTCGTTGCCCTTGTGACATCCTGCCTCGCAGTGTTGTTGCGCCCCTCGGTCCCCGGTGTCCGCTGCTGCTGCTGGCTTAAATCTGTGCATGGTGCCCTCGTGTATTGGCCTGGCATTCTGGCGCGCCCCTCCCCTCGCGTCCTCTTGCGTTGTAGTGTGCCAGCGAGGGTTGATCCACTTGTCCGATGCCTTCTTGTCTCCTTCAGTTTGCCTTCGCGTGCCTTGTTTGTTTCGCCTTGCTTATGATTATCCTCGCTCTCTTGTTTTATTTCTGCTGGCCGCGCGCGCGGAACCATCGCCCTCGCGACTCCCGGGGGCTGGGGGGGCCGCCCTTTTTGCGGGCAGGCACCGTCGTCCGGGGGCGCGCTTGGGCGGGTGGGTCGGCGCGGGCTGCGAGCTCGCTTCATTCCTACGGGGGGCCTTACGAAGGGCGGTGAAAGACCCGACCCTAGACGGGGGCACCCCGCGCCCCGCCTCGCCCAACACTCTCTTCGGGGGGCGCGCCGGGGCGCCGAGGGGGCCCGCGGGCCGGGCGCGCGCGCGGCGCGCGGCGCGCGGCGAGCGTCCGACCTGCGGCCGCCGATGCGGAGGCCAAAAAACAACAACAACAACAACAACAACAACAACAACAACAATTACTAGCACGTGGGGGCACTCCGTTCTCACCAGTGCCAGGGTTTTCATAGGAGGCGGGCAATGCCCCCACTTTGTGGGGGGGCCGGTTCAAGCTCCACCAAATTTCCAAACGACTCTTCGCCACCACCCACACCCAGCTTCCCGCCCTATGACGTTCGGACACTTCACTTCGTGGCATGCGGACGACCGTGGCTACTATTCAGGGCCCCGCGGCCGACGACGACGGCGTGCGCGCGCGAAGAAAAAACGAATGTGTCCCGCATGGTATTATTTGACAGGGATGATGGCCCTGGCAGGTGCGCAACCGTTGTCGCAGAAGTTCGAAAAAGTTGCTCGCAAAAGCCCGTTTGACAGAAATGTTTAAAAAGTGTTGGGTTTCCTACGAATCCGCAAGAGCGCGCGGGATGAGATTTTGACAATTTTTTGTTAAAAAAAACCATTGGTTTTTTTTTGATGTTTTTATGTTAAAATCGCTACGAAAACTAAGGTTTTGGAAGGATTTCGTCTTGCGCGCGCGAATGTCCACTTTACCTTTTTTTTTCGCAAGGGATTCTTGAAGTTTGGTTATGTTAGAACAAGAAATGTCCACTTTAGCTTATTTTTTGCAAGGGAAAACCGATCGTAACAACACAACCGGATCCGGACTCCCCCGTTTTGCCTGAGACTTCCTCACGAAAATGATGAAAATGTGGCTGCGGCCTAGGCGCGGCGGGGGGGTCGTGCACCAGGGGCCCCAACAATGATTATTCTTAAGAAGAAATAATGTTCAACAACAACAACAACAACAGCAGCAGCAGCAGCAACTACAACAACATGTAATACTGTTCGCCCTTATCTGCTCGAGTGTCGAATAACGCGACTTTCCCAAACCCTCGATACCCGCCCTCTTCGTCTTCGATCGAACCCCATTTGGGGGGTATACTTTTCTTCCCTGCAGGCCGGGCCTCGGCAAGCGGCGGGGCGGCCGCGGACCGTCGGCCTGGCCAGCGGCAGCGCTGATCGGCGGGTCGGCCGCGGACCGTCGACTCGACCCCGCGAGGGGCGGACAGGGGGCCGACCACGACGACGACGACGACGACGACGACGACGACGACGACCACGTCGAAGACGACGGCGACGACGACGGCGACGACGAGCGAAAGCGACAGCGAGAGAGAACGACAGCAGGGCCACGAAGGGCACGAAGTAGGCCACGAAGGGCGACAGCGGGGACACGAAGGGAATGCGCATGGGGCCACGAAGAGCGCGAACGAGCGGGGGCCACGAAGTGCAGATAATGCGGGGCCACAGAGGGCAACTATGGAGCCAGTGAGGGTAGCAACGGGGCCACGTAGGACAGTGAGGGGGACACAAGTGGCGACAGCGGGGCCACGAAGGGCATGCACATGGGGCCACAACGGGCGCGACTCCTAGGCGCCTGGGCGTCGGGAGCGCGGCGCCCGGGCAAATTGCAGGAAATTCCAACGCAAAGCCATTCCTCAGTAAGTTGCAAGCAAGTCTCCAGCGAGAGCGCGACTCCAGAGCGCCGGGAGAGCGATTCCTAGATAAGTTGTAAAGAAGCCCTAAGCGAGAGCGCGATTCCGGAATAAAATGCGAGGAAGTCTCGGGCGGAAGCGGGGGCCCTGTCTAAATTGCAAGGAAGTCTCAAGCGGGAGCCGTCGTTGTTGCAACCCGGGGGCCAGGGGCCAAGTTTGTGCAGGAAGACTGTCCCTGTCACAAAACAGGGTGCGAGCGTCGAGGGGCATGCTTTGATTCAGGAAAAACAGTATGCACCGGTGGGGGGGGATCAACAATAATTATTCTTCAGGAAGGAGAATGCAACAACAACAACAACAACAACGACCAGAACATCACCACCACAACCAACAACAACAATAAGAATAATGATACTAGTAATAATAATACTAAGAAGAATGATGATCATAATAATGATAATAGTAATAATTGAAATAATAATAATAATAATAAAACTATTAATAACAGTAATCATCATCATCATAATCATCTTCCTACTAATAGTAAAAACTAATATTAATAATGGTAATACTAGTAATAATAATATTAATAATATTATAGTACTAGTAAAACGAACAGTACTAATAATATAATAGTATTAGAAATATAAATTGTCAGTACTACTACTACTAACAACAATAGTAATAATGGTAATAGTCATAAGAATAGTAATAATACTTACTATTGTTTAAGGTAATAATAATGATTTAAATAGTAATACACATAATTGAATTTGTTGATACGACGACCAATAATAATGATAATTCGAATTATCATACAGAAAAAGAGTTAATAATAATAATAATATGTTTCCGGCTGTTCGCCCTTATATGCTCGAGTGTGCACTAACGCGCGTTTCCCAAACCCTCGATACCTGCCCTCTCCGTCTTCGATCGAACCCTTTTTTGGGGGTGTATCTTTCTTCCCTGCAGGCCAGGCCCCGGCAAGCGGCGGGGCGGCCGCGGACCGTCGGCCTGGCCAGCGGCAGCGATGATCGGCGGAGCGGCCGCGGACCGTCGACCCGACCCCAAGAGGGGCGGACAGGGGACCGACCACGACGACGACCACGACGACGACGACGACGACGACGACGACGACGACGACGACGTCGAAGACGACGGCGACGACGACGGCGACGACGAGCGAAAGCGACAGCGAGAGAGAACGACAGCAGGGCCACGAAGGGCACGAAGTAGGCCACGAAGGGCGACAGCGGGGGCACGAAGGGAATGCGTATGGGGCCACGAGGAGCGCGAACGAGCGGCGGCCACGAAGCGCAGAGAATGCGGGGCCACAGAAGGCAACTATGGAGCCAGTGAGGGTAGCAACCGGGCCACGTAGGACAGTGAGGGGGACACAAATGGCGACAGCGGGGCCACGAAGGGCATGCACATGGGGCCACAACGGGCGACTCCTGGGCGCCTAGGTGTCGGGGGCGCGTCGCTTGGGCAAATTGCAGGAAATTCCGATGCAAAGCCATTTCTCAATAAGCTGCAAGCAAGTCTCCAGCGAGAGCGCGACTCCAGAGCGCCAGGAGAGCGATTCCTGAATAAATTGTCAGGAAGTCCCAAGCGAGAGCGCGATTCCTCAAGAAAATGCGAGGAAGACTCGGGCGGGAGCGGGGGGTCTGGCTAAATGGCAAGGAAGTCTCAAGCGGGAGCCGTTGTTGTTGCAACCCGAGGCAGGGGCCCAGTTTGAGCACGAAGGCTTTCCTTGTCAAAAAACAAGATGCGAGCGTCGAGGGCGCACTTTGATTGAGAAATATCAGCATGCACCGGTGGGGGGGCGACATCAATAAGCATTCTGCAGAACTAAGACTTCAACAACAACAACAACAACAACAATAACAACAACAACAACAACAACAGCAACAATCAGTTTAAGACTGTTCGCCCTTATCTGCTCGAGTGTCGAATAACGCGAATTTCCCAAACCCTCGATGCCCGCCCTTTTCGTTGTCGATCGAACCCCTTCTGGGGGGTATACCTTTCTTCCCTGCAGGCCGGGCCCGGGCAAGCGGCGGGGCGGCCGCGGACCGTCGGCCTGGCCAGCGGCAGCGCTGATCGGCGGGGCGGCCGCGGACCGTCGACCCGACCCCGAGGAGGACGGACAGGGGACCGACCGCGACGACGACGACGACGACGACGTCGACGACGACGGCAACGACGGCGACGACGACGACGAGCGAAAGCGACAGCGAGAGAGAACGACAGCAGAGCCACGAAGGACACGAAATAGGCCACGAAGGGCGACAGCGGGGACACGAAAGGAATGCGTATGGGGCCACGAAGAGCGCGAACGAGCGTGGGCCACGAAGGGCAGAGAATGCGGGGCCACAGAAGGCAACGATGGGGCCACTGAGGGTAGCACCTGGGCCACGCAGGACATGGAGGGGGCCGCAAACGGCGACAGCGGGGCCACGGAGGGCAGGCACATGGGGCCACAACGGGCACGAACGAGCGGGGCCACGAAGGGCATGCGTATGTTGGGCCGCGGAGGGCACGGACGGGGCCCCTGAGGGCAGCAACGGGGACACGAAGGGCAGCGAGGGGGCCGCGAAGGGCGACAGCGGGGCCACGAAGGGCATGCAGATGGGGCCACCACGGGCGCGAACGAGCGGGGGCCACGACGGGCATACATATGTAGGGCGACGAAACAAAGCGAGGGGGCCACGAAGGGCTGCAACGGGGCCACGAAGGGCTGCAACGCGGCCGCGAAGGGCTGCAACGGGCAGCGAGGGGGCCACGAAGGGCTGCAACGGGGCCGCGAAACAAAGCGAGGGGGCCACGAAGGGCTGCAACGGTGCCACGAAGGGCAACGAGGAGGCCACGAGGGGCTGCAAAGCGGGATGTGGGAAGCGAGGTTGGAGCCGAATGGCATCAGCTACAGCCCTGGGACCAGCGCGTGTGCGAACGGCGAGCAGTGGCAGCAGGCTCTCCCACTGCTCAGCGAGATGTGGGAGGCGAAGGTGGAGCCAAGTGTCATCAGCTACAGCTCTGGGATCAGCGCGTGCGCGAAAGGCGAGCAGTGGCAGCGGGCTCTATCGCTGCTCCGCGAGATGTGGGAAGTGAGGTTGGAGCCTGATGCCATCAGCTACAACTCTGGGATCAGCCCTGGGATCAGCGCGTGTACGAACGGCGAGCAGTGGCAGCAGGCTCTCCCACTGCTCAGCGAGATGCGGGAGGCGAAGGCGGAGCCAAGCGTCATCAGCTACAGCCCTGGGATCAGCGCGTGCACGAAAGGCGAGCAGTGGCAGCGGGTTCTATCGCTGCTCTGCGAGATTTGGGAAGTGAGGTTGGAGCCAGATGCCATCAGCTACACCTCTGGGATCAGCGCGTGTGCGAACGGCGAGCAGTGGCAGAGGGCTCTCCCACTGCTCAGCGAGATGCGGGAGGCGATGGTGGAGCCAAGTGTCATCAGCTACAGCTCTGGGATCAGCGCATGCGCGATAGGCGAGCAGTGGCAGCGGGCTCTCTCACTGCCCAGCGAGATGTGGGAGGCGAAGGTGGAGCCAAGTGACATCAGCTATAGCTCTGGGATCAGCACCTGCGCGAAAGGCGAGCAGTGGCAGCGGGCTCTATCACTGCTCAGCGGGATGCGGGAAGTGAGGTTGGGATGAAAGTCACCAGCTGCAGCTCTGGGAACAGCGCGTGCGCGAAAGGCGAGCAGCGGCAGCGGGCTCTATCGCTGCTCTGCGAGATGTGGGAAGTGAGGTTGGAGCCAGGTGCCATCAGCTACAACTCTGGGATCAGCCCTGGGATCAGCGCGTGTACGAACGGCGAGCAGTGGCAGCAGGCTCTCCCGCTGCTCAGCGAGATGCGGGAGGCGAAGGTGGAGCCAACTGTCATCTGCTACAGCTCTGGGATCAGCGCGTGCACGAAAGGCGAGCAGTGGCAGCGGGCTCTATCGCTGCTCTGCGAGATTTGGGAAGTGAGGTTGGAGCCAGATGCCATCAGCTACAACTCTGGGATCAGCGCGTGCGCGAACGGCGAGCAGTGGCAGCGGGCTCTCTCGCTGCTCAGCGAGAAGTGGGAGGCGAAGGTGGCGCCAAGTGTCATCAGCTACAATGCTGGGACCAGCGCGGGCGAGAAGAGGGGGCAGTGGCAACAGGCAGTCGCGCTGCTCAGCGCGATGTTGGACGCGAAGCTGGGGCCCGACGTCGTGGGTTACAGGGCTGGGGTTGGCGCGTGCACAAAGCGGAAGCAGTGGCAGCGGGCCCTATCGGCGATCATCTGCAGGCAGATGCAGAAAATGGAGCCCAATGTCATCAACTACAGTGCTAGGATTGGCGCGTGCACGAAAAGAGACCAGTGGCAGCGAGCCCTATCGATGCTCATCTGGCAGGTCGTGTGCTTCAGCTCCTGGGCCGGCGCTCGCACGGCAGGCGGGCAGGGCCAGCGGGCGCTGCGGCCGCGGGCCGCCGGGCCGGGGCAGCTCTGGCGGCCTTTGCGGGCGGCCGCGCCCGGGCGCGGAGGGGGGCCGGCCGGGCCAGGGCCTCGAGAGCTTCTGCGGCTTCCGGACGCCCCCGGAAGCCTCCGGAGGCCGAGGCGCGCAGGGCGGCTCGGCCGGGCGGGCGGCGGGCGGCGGCGGCTGGCGGCGCGAAGACCGCGCGGAGGCCAGCGGGCCCGTCGGGCCGCCTACGGCGACCGCGGGCGCCGGCTGCCCAGCCTGGGGGCCAGCCGGAGGCAGCTGGGTGCAGCGCCCTCTTTCGCTGCGGACTCGGCCGGGGACTGGGGCTGGGGCTGGGAGAGGAGAGGTTCGGGCAACGGGCGCCCTGCCTGTCCTACCGGTGGCCCATCCCAGCCGCCCCCTTGCAGAGGTGGAGGGAGATTCGAAGGTAGAGGACGAGGCAGAATGGGGAGGAGAGGAGGAATGCAAGGAAGGTGCATGTTTTCCTGGGGTCGGCAAGCCATGCCGCAAAGGGAGCGCCAGGGGAATTGCAGGCCTGCTGGCGGGGCGCCGTTTTGACCCCGCCACCCCCCCCCCGAAGGGAGGTGGATTGCAACTGGCGGAAGGGGGTAGGGTGGGTGGGTGTCAAAAACTCCCGCATTGAGGCCCCCCGGGTTAAGGAATGCACCCCCTCGAGTTGCAGTTGTGCCATCGGCTGCGCGGGGACGGCGAATGCCCCGACCGCGGGGCTGCCACGGCGCCTGCGCCACAAAACACGTGTACGGATCCAGCTGACGACCGAAGAGGACAAGGATAGGATGTCGCGCGCGCCCAACCCCGAAGCCCCTCTCCCGAAAGCAAGCCCCCATAGAAAGACGCCTTCGGGCAACGGGCGCACTGCCTGTCCTACCGGCGGCCCATCCCAGCCGTCCCCTTGCAGAGGTGGAGGGAGAAGGTAGAGGACGAGGCAGAATGGGGAGGAGAGGAGGAATGCAAGGAAGGTGTATGTTTTCCTGGGGTCGGCAAGCCATGCCGCAAAGGGATCGCCAGGGGAATTGCAGGCCTGCTGGCGGGGCGCCGTTTTGCGACCCCGCCAACCCCCAGTGAGGCAAGTGGCGCTCACAATGAGTGAGCGAGGCGTCTCCATTGAGGCATGGGCCCGGGCGTCGACTGGCCCTGCTCGGATGACAGGGCCGGCGCGCAGCCGGGAGGCTTGAAGGTTTGGGTGGTGTCCGGTTTGATGGACGCAGCTGCTTGTGCAAACATTCGGAGACGTTCCTGCTCGTTGAAACGGGTGTATACAGAGCGCATGGTCTCGGGGCTCGACCACCCGCCTTGAGCTTGAATTATCTCGTCTGGGACTTGGGCATCTGCTTTCCACCAATGGGCCCCGCCTTTTCGCAGCGAGTGGGTGCCCGTTGAGCACCCGGGAAACACTGTACTGATGACAAGGACTTGCGCGTTGTGTCGGCGGAAATTGCCGATGGCACTGCCTTGTGCGTAACGGAAAACAACGGGCCATTGGTGTGATCCGGCCACAACTTCGCACGGGCGGCGACCCAGTCCCGCAACAGTTAGAGCCTCCGAGGTGCGGAAAGCATGGATGATGCAACGCATCCCTGCTCCTAGTGGATCATTTTTTGCTTCCTGATGAATGCTGCGGCGTGCGTGGTCTCGATCGCAAGTTCCTCCTCCGCCAACGAACGCATCTCGGCGGACCGTCGCACGCCGAAGAAGCAAAATGCCGCAGCAGCTGCGTCCCGGACGCCCGCGGGGGAGTTGACACCGCGGCGCGCCCGCACGTAGTGCAGGAGCTGTGTTAAAGACAGTGGCTCTTTGGCCCGTGACAAAGTGTGGCCTGCTCGTTTTTTGAGATCCTTCCAAAAACGCGCGGCCCGGTCGGTCCATGCGGAATCAAAAGGGTCTACAAGGCCCCGTTCTTCGTGCCATGCTCGCACTGCTGCGCGGGCCGTGGAGATTGTGCCCCACGGTTTGCCGTCCAAGGAAGCGAATAGACACATCAGCTTTGTGTCTGAATCACAGGGCAGCAAAGACAGACTGGACGCCGACTCTGCGTGGTTGGCCACAGAGCGAAGCGCAGCATCGTAGCGCGCGCGCGTGGACTCTTCCCACGCCGCGCGGATGCAGGAATTCACTGTGGCAAATGCTCTGGCTTGGAACGCCCGTTGGTCGGCAGTCGTGTTTGCGACCGCCGGGATGTTCAGAGCTACTTCGAGGCCAACCAGATGCCAGGAGCCCGGCCGGTCGGGCCCCGGCCAGAGTGCCGGGTGCGCGCCCGACGCACGTTGTGCGCTGGGCGGCGACACTCTTAGCAGGATGGCTCCCCAAGGCCCCGGCGCGTTGCACCGTGACCCGGGCACCTCCCGAAGGTTGCGTTGCAAGTTGTGCAGCGCCTGCCTGGGCCCGCTCACTGGCGCTGTCGTTGGCTTGTTGGACGCGTCCGAGGGGGTTAGAAGGGGGCGAAGCCGATGAGCCCGGCCCCCCTGGGCGCCTTGCGTCCGCGCCAGGCGGTTCCTCTGAGGCGCGGGCGGCCGCGCTGGGTGCCGTTGCCACTCTCTCCTCTTGAACGCTGCGGCCGGCCCCGGCGGCAGCGTCTGTGACGAAATCATCTCTATAAAGAAAGGATGGCCCGATCCGCCGGAATTTTTCAGCTGGGGAGAGTGGCAGGTCCATGATGACGACCGGGATTGAGCCGACACGCTCTGGCGGGTTTGCTGTAGCGACGGGGTTCTCGACCTCGCCCCCAGTGTGCTCACGCGGGCGCATCGTTTCTGGGCGGGCTGGCGTGGTTGTCATCAATCGCGACGCAGGCGCACCAGCGCAAACTCCAAATGTTTGGGAGGAGCGTTTGCAATCTTAGCGTGCGAACGCCTCTCTCCCCCACCGTCTGCGTTGCCTCCTCTCCCCTACTCCTGACCCCGCTTCCTGCGTGGCCCGTCTCCCCTGCCCCTGACCCCGCCTCCCGATTAATGACGCCCCCCCGTATCCGTCGCCTGAGGATGCCCCCACCGAGTTGGGGCTTGCTTGAGCGGAGCAAACGGGCGGGGGACGAGGGAGGGAGCGGAAGGAAAGGGAAGGAAAAATGGGGCAGGTGGGGGATGGGCATTCTTTCCGTGGCCCGGTGGGAGCGTCGCTGCGCGTGCTGCGTAGCGATGGGAGCGCCCGGCGCCTTCGAGGGTCTGCTGTAAAAGTTCTAAACTGCAGACGGCGCCGGGGGAGAGTGCGGGGCCGGGAAACTTCCCCACGATGTTTCGTGTGTTGGATATGGATGCTCTGCGCTGGCGTTCTGTTTCCCGGCCCAACTGTCGCTGCGGGTTCGCTGCTGGCTGCGCCGCGTTGTTGCCGAGGCAACCTGCTGAAAAAAAACTCGCGCAATGGCAGACGGCCAAGACGGGGGGCGCGGGGGCCGGGAAACCCATCCATAACTACTGCTGCGTTATCAAGACATGCGGCATGTGATGTCGTCATGCTTCCCCGGCCCCCTTGCCGCAGCGAGCTTGCTGCTCAGCTAAACCCGCAATCCTGCGCCCAGTGGTTCACGTTCACCGTCAGCCTGCCCGCGGCTACACACCGCGGGCACGGGAGGACGCACTTGTTCTTAAAAGTGCCGCGGCACTCTTCAAAAGTGCGCTCCAAAGCGCCTCTGCCGCTGTAGAGGCAGTTCTTGCGCACCTCTCGGCTGGCCTGGAGGGCGGCCTGTTTCAAGCCTTTCTCTTTGAAGCGATCGTCGAACCACTGGAAAAACTGCGCGGACTTTCCCGGCGCGACAGCGGCAAGGCTGGCTTTCATCTGTCGCACCAACTCCATGCGACCAGGGGCTGGCGGCGTCCCCGGAGCTGCCAGGGGCGCGTCCGCCGGAGGGCCCGCCGCCGGAACGTTGGGCCAGCGGTTAGCCCTCGCCCCGGAGCTGGCGCGGTGGTCGGACCCCGCCGCTCCGCTCTGGTTGTGGCCCGCGGGCGCGGTCGTGCCCGACGGGTCACCCAGGCGCCGCGCTTTCGAAGCGGACTGCGGCGAGTCGGCGCCGAGTCGCTTCAGGTCGTTCGCGCGGCTCTGGCCGGCAGCCGCGCTCAGGAGCGCAACCTCCCCGAACACCAAGTCGGGGCCGAAGTCCTTCAGGGGGATCTCGTGGTCGAAGGCCCGGGCCGCACTCGGTTTGAGAGTGCGTTTTTTGAAAGCCTTGATGGCGTAGTAGACCCACTCCATGACCGTCGTCCGCCGGGCCTCGGCTTTGGCAGCGTTGGCCTGGGTGCCGGTAAGGACAGACGTGTACCTCTTCTCCGTGAGATGGTAAAGCACCAAGACGCAGCGGCTGAGGGCGCGGACGTTCTGGTCCCTGCCGGCTTCGGCTCGCTCTCCGAGGTGGCACCTGAACTTCTCGCTGGGCCCGCCCCGCTCTGGGAGGCGCAAATCTTTCCATTTCGTCCGAGCCGCGTGCTTCATCGCGACGCGGGTCTTTAGAGCCTCAAGTTCCTTGTTCTCTGGGTGTGCCGCGCTCACCCCCCACAGGCTAGCTGCGGGGTTCCCAGACTTCTCGATGGCCTCCCCGGCTGCCTCGACACTGTCAGGGTCGACCGTGAGCGCCTCCCACGTCGCTTTCCATTGCGCAACCGTGAGGTTCCGCAAGACGGCCCGCCAAGGGTATTCTTCGTCAGCCGCCCTGTTGTACTCGTTGGTGAACGCCGCGTGGACGGCGCCTCCGGGTTTGGCTGACTCTTCGACGGCTGCGTACACGGTCCCGCCTGGGAGGGGCGCGGTGCTGAGCTGCTCTGTAATCCTTTCCACGACGGAATTGTAGATTGCGCCCCCCGGCTGCGTCTCAGCCTCGATTGTTTCTGCAATCAGTGTCTTGACCTGTTCATCGGAAGCCATACCTTGGAAAAGGTGGGGGGCCGAGGTGCGCGTGGGCGAGCTGGCCGGCGCGGCTGATCTTGGGGCTCGGGCCGAATGGCGTGGGACGCGGCGTCCTCCCAGATCCGCTATGCCTGTCCTCCCTTCTCTTGTCCCCCCTCCTCCGTGCTTCTCCAGTCCCTTACTTCCCCGTCCACTGTCATCGTCTGAAGAGGCCCCCACCGAGTTAGGGCCAGATGCCAA